CATTCTTCACAGAAATGGAAAAAACAGAGGCATAACTCTTCCTGACTTCAAATTATACTACAAAGCTGTTGTAACCAAAACAGCATGGTACTGGTATAAAAATAGACATTCAGACCAGTGGCGTAGAGTAGAGAACCCAGAAATCGCTCCTCAGGCTTATAGCCATCTGATATTAGACAAAGGCAACAAAAATCTACATTGGGGAAAAGATTGCCTCTTCAACAAGTGGTGCTGAGAAAACTGGATATCCATATGCAGAAGAACGAAACTAAATATGCAGCTCTCACCATATACTAAAATCAAATCAAAATGGAATAAATATCTAGGTATAAGACCCCAAACCATAAAATTACTAAGGGAAAATATAGGTGAAACACTTCAGCAGTTAGGTCAGGGCATAGGCTTTATGAACGTGAGCAAAAGCACAAGCAGCAAAAGAAAAAATAAACAAGTGGGACTATATCAAACTAAAAAGTTTCTGCACAGCAAAAGAAACAATCAACAGAGTAATAAGACAACCTACAGAGTGGGAGAAAATTTTTGCCAACTATGCATCTGACAAGGGACTAATATCCAGAATATACATAGAACTCAAGCAATTATGCAGTAAAAAAATAAATGACCCTATTAAAAAATGGGCAAAGGAGCTGAAAAGACATTTTTCAAAGGAAGACATACAAGTGGACAACAGATACTTGAGAAAATGCTCAACATCACTAGTCATCAAGGAAATGCAAATTAAAACCACACTGAGATACCACCTCACTCCAGTTAGACTGGCTATGATCAAAAAGATGGTGAATAACAAATGCTAGTGAGGGTGTGGAGGGAAGGGAACACTACTGCACTGTTGGTGGGAATGTAAATTAGTACAACCACTTTGGAAAACAATTTGGAAGTTTCTCAAAAAACTACAGATAGGTCTTCCATATGATCCAGCAGTCCCTGTTCTGGGTATTTATCCAGAGGAATGGAATTCATCATGTCGAAGAGATACCTGCACTCCCATGTTCATCACAGCTCTGTTTACAGTAGTCAAGATACAGAACCAACCTAAATGTCCATTAATAGATGATTGGATAAGGAAACTGTGGTATATATACACTATAGAATACAACTCTTCCCTAGAAAAGAATGAAATACTCCCATTTGCAACAACATGGATGAACCTGGAGAAACTTACATTGAATGAAACAAGCAAAGCACAGAGGAATAAATACCTTGTGTGCTCACTCATATATGGGAGCTAAGAGAGAAAGGAAGGCAGGAAAGAAAGACCACAGTAGTCCCATGATCCAACAGAGGGAGGGAATATTCCTAGGGCTACAAATTGAAGTTGAGGGGAGAGGGGGAAGGGGAAGGAGGTCGGGGGATAATTGGAAGGGGCAAAGGGTACAAAAGCAATTTCTGGTAATTGATATGTCCCCAATATGAATCTGGCCCCCATCATGGGCAGGAGGGCGGACAATCAGCTTTGTATCTCATGAATATTCAAAATAAAAAAAATAATGGTGGTGATGGGCATGGTTTGGAGGACTTTAAAAAAAGAGTGAAAGAGGAGGTTAGTTTCTTTCTCTCTGCTTCATAATTTTCTGCCGCATGAAACCCCTTTGGGTCACTGTTGCCACCACCAAGACTGTCATCAGATGTGTTCCCTGGACTTTGGACTGCCTAGCTTCCAAAAATGTAAGCAATAAATTTTGTTTTCTTTATGAAATACGAGGTTCTGCATATTTTGTTATAAGCAACAGAAACGGACTAACAGAAAATTGGTATCACAGAATTGGGGTGTTGCTTTATAACAAATACTTGAAAATGTGGAAATGGCTTTGGAATTGGGTGTTGAGCAGAGGCTGGAAGAATTTGGAGGAACAGGCTAGAAAAAGCCTACCTGCTGGTGGGAGTTTAGAAGACAAGAAAACCAGGGTAAGTTTAGAATGCCTTAGAGACTGGTTATGTGGTGGCAACCAGAATGCTGATAGAAATACGGACTGTAAAGACCATTCTAAGGAGGCCTCAGATGTAAATGAGGAGTTTATTAGAAACTGGGGCAAAGCTCAACCTTGCTGTGAACTGGCAAGGAACTTGGCTTCATTGTGTCCATGCCCTAGGACTTTGTGGAAGTTGGAACTTAAGAGTTGTGAACCAGAACATTTGGCAGAAGAAATTTCTAAGCAGCAAAATATTAAGGAAGCTTCACGGCTACTTGCAACAGCCTATGATGAGTTAGGCAGCAAAGGCATGACATAAAACCAGAACTTATAATTAAAAGGAAAGCAGAGCATGAAGATTTGGAAAATTTGCAGCCTGGCCATATGGTAGAGAATCAGAGAGCATTTTCAAGAGGAATAATTCAATGATACTAAGATTAGTACAAAAGAAAGGGATTATCAAGAGAAGGGAGAAAAGGCCCTGAAGGCATTGCAGAAGCCTCTGCTGCCAACCTTTCCATTTCAAGCCCCAAAGCCTAGGGAAACAGAATGATCTTGGAGAATGCCTGAGGTGACTTCCATGAACTCACCACCCAGGGCCACCTCAGGAAGCTGCTTCAAACACCAGAACCACAGCTGTTTCAGCTATTCCAGCCGTGGCTAAATTGGCCCCAGGTGTGGCTGGACTCACAACTTTGGAAAACATAAGCCAAAAGTCATGGCAGCGTCCCAGTGGTGTTAGGTCTGCAGGCTCACAGAATACCAGAGCTCTGAAGGCTTGGGAGCCTCCACCCCAATTTCAAAGGATATATGGAAAATCCTGGGGGCCTGGGAAGAAATCTGTCCCAGGGGTGGAGTTACCTCAGACGGAATTCACCAGAGCAGTACTGAGAGGAAATTTGAGGTTGGAGTTCCAGCAGAAAAACCTCACCAGCGCCATGCTTAGTAAAACCATGAGAACGGGACTGCCATGGAGACCCCAGACCTGTGGAGCTACAAGTGTGCCATGCCAGCCTGTGAAGGCCAAAGCACCATGTGAGACTAGAAAAGCCATAGAAGTGGAGCTGCCTGAGGACTTGGGGACCCAACCCCCACACCAGCATGCAGAGGAGGTCAAACATGGAATCAAGGTACATGATTTGCCAGCTTTGAGATTTATTGCCCGCCCTGCTGGATTTCAAACTTGCTTAGGACCTGTTACTTCTTTCTTTTGGCGTGTTTCTCCCTTTTTGAATGGGAATATGTACCCTATGCTTGCCCCACCATTGTATCTTAGAAGTAAATAACTTGTTTTTGATTTCCAGGTAGGACTTTGAATTTTGGACTTTTGAGCTGAAACAAGTTAAGACTTTGAGGATGAAGTGAATATATGTGTATGTGAAAAGGAGTTTTTGGGGGCCAGGGGAAGAATGCCTTGGGTTTAATATGCCCCCCAAACTCAATCCCCACTGTAACCGTTGAGGATGGGGAATCCTATTATGGTAATTGAGATGTAGGGCCTTTAAGAGGTGATCTGATTGTAGAACCACACCACAGAAGATGGATTAAAAATGGTAGTCATGAGTGTGGTTTGGCGAGCTTTAAAAAGGAGAGTAAGTGAGGAGGTCAGTGTTTCTCTCTCTGCTCCATGATTTTCTGCCATGTGAGACCCCTTTAGGTCACTATCACCACCACCAATACCCTCATCAGATGTGTTCACTGGACTTTGTACTTCCCAGCCTTAAAACTGTAAGCAATAAATTTTGTTTTCTTTATCAATTACCCAGTTTCAAGTATTTTGTTATAAGGGACAGAAATGGCCTAATGCTTACAGTTTATTATAGTTTGTGAAGTTCTCACTCATATTGACCTTTATTGCATTCATATTAGAAACTGAACCAGTAGACTAATTATCCACTATAAATTTGTAATCCTGGAGGTAGCAGAGATTTCTAGTAGAAACACTTTCTATCCCTTATTTATGATACTGAACACATCTCATATTAAGCAATCAAGAAAACACACAATATATGGATGAATGGTCGGATGGATAAAGTTGTCAATTACTCTTAAAATGTTTAGCCCTACTTTGAACTTGGCACTTTTTCTAGTTCTAGTCAGGACTGAAAATTAGAGGGTCAATTTCAAACCAATATCAATTCAAATAATTCTCTGTAAAAGTAAGGAATAGTTTGTCTCTCAGAAATTTTGATAGTAAACAGGGGTATAGCACTTGCATGTGCCAAGGTCTGCTATAAATGCTTTACTTGCACTAATTCATCTAATCCTTAATATAACTTTGTAAAATATTTATGGTTATGATTCCAATTTAATATATTACACATATTTCAAAAGCAACTTTATTTCCTCTGAGCTGAGAAACAATAGATGAAGATAGTCAAGAGGCCAGACTGTGGCACCAGACCGCCTAGAGGCAAATGCCGCTCCACCCTTTGGGTGTTGTGCAATGGGCTCAGGTTAATTGCCCAAGCAGCACAGCCTTGGAAACAGCAAGGGATGAAATGGTTGGTGACTCAAACTAGAAGTGTGAAGTCAGAGGATTGTGAAAAAAATGACCTTGGCAATGTTTATTAGAGATTGTTTTTATCCTTAACCTGTGTACATATTACTTGTTTTACTACTATCATATCCTACTAAGTTACTATTATCTAGTGAATCCTCCTGTTACCTTGGCTTTTGATAAGAGTAGAAGAAGGAAGATTTCATTCTGATTCTGTAATTATAACTAGGAATATATAACTGGCTTCTCACTGGGCCTTTCCTTTCTCCAGACTGAATAAGCTACTGTGAGGGTGATTTGTGACGAACTGGTCATGTTAACATTACAATGTGCTTGTGAATCTAACTTTTCAAAACAAAAGATATTTAAAGTACTCCCTTTATAATCAGACTCAAGGAGCCAAATGAGAGGAGAGTCTTCAGAAAATGCATACGTTTTCCAGTTATCCAAGTAATGAAACCTGTTATCAATGGCAATAAAATGGCAACATACAAATTAGCTGGTAAAGACTCTTGTATTAAAGTAGTAGTTTTTAAACACTCACTTTCAAAGCTAGAAATCAATCATACCTGAACAACTTTCTGGGACTGCACATCAACGATAAGGACTCTGTCCAAAGTTGGCTGCGCCACATAAATAAACTTGTCTTTGACATCAACTGCCGAGGCCCACACACACCGCTGAACTTCATCCCCTTCAGCTTTGGGACAGACTTCATCCTGTCATTTAGGAAGCAGAAAATGAAATTTATATTTTAAATTATAACATGGGCTTTCCAACGTTATGGGTAAAATTCAATGTTTGGTGCTTTGCTACTTTCAACATCAAATGTTAAATATGTATATAGAAAGGGTTAAATCAAATAAAGCAGTAGATAGAGCATATTTAATTTCATTAAATACTATAGAAATCAACGTGAATGAGATCCCTTTTAAATAAATTTCATGTATGTAATTACTTAGTTTTCTAGTGAAGCGTATAGTCCTTTCATTTTTTACTACTTGTTTATAACTCGGCAACTTCAGAAATACATAAGTGCAATCTTTTCCCCCAAATTCTTCCAGTCTCAAGCTTCTTTAACAGAATAAATGTTACACTAAAGTATATTCAGAGTTCTCAGAACATTGGTGGCTGCCCCCAGGCCACATACATGGTCTTGTCAAAAGTCGCCAGATCCCCTAGAAATGACCGCAAGAGTCTTCTAATTTTTGGTGAATTAGAATTTTAGAGATATTATGCTAAGGTTGTTATTTACAATGGTTATTTTGTTATCCTTTTTGGTATCAAGGTCAAATTTTACAAAATCCCTTAATCTACCCAAGACTTTTTATCAAGCTCCTTTACCCTCGAAGTGCCTTCTGGTTGAAGATTGTATGGTTTATGTTAGATGGTCATAAATGAGGCAAAAAATACCCCCTTTTCCTCCTTTCTTTTGTTTTGTCAATAAATAATTGTTTAAGGGATATGAGCCTTTGTTACTCATGTTGGGAGACACATCATAAATAGAAGTACAAGAAAAATGTCATTTAGGTCATGATTTATTTTTTCAGCCTTTTCTTTTATTTACTAGTCTAT